GTGTTTGAACCGGTAGGACTCTTTCTTCCCCTCTGACGTTTTTATTCTACCCTTATTCACATTTCTACTCGCCCTCTGCTCTTCTAATTTGCTTCGTGATGATTGTAATCCTAACGAGATTTACTTCGGTTTTGTTCATTACTGGGTTCGAAGGGGAAATGGGTTTACATTTCGTAGGGTTACGACTTCTAGCTCAGTTAAGCCGGTTTTTCTCTACCAAATATTTAACGTGCACACTGATTCCTTATCTGTTGACAGAGTCCGCGCGAACGTAAGTGACCGGAGTGCCCGCGTATTTCAGATGCAATTTAAAGACGTTGTTCTGATCAACAAAGAGGAGTGCGTGCGAACGATTGAACGACAAGGTTTCAGCTTCGTCAGCATACAGCTGGTGTTTAAGTCAGACTGAAAGTGGATTCCTTGCGTGGCAGAATTGCGTGTAGAGATGGGTACCAGGTGCGTCCTACTACAAACGGTGGTCGTGTGTATTGTGGACCAGTCCAGACAGCACACCAGTGGTACTGCAATACAACAGTCCTCAGTGGTGAACCCGTTTTTCTGTGGACGAAGGCGTAAACTCGAGGATATCCACACAAAGTCGGACGTAGTGTAACGACAGGAATATTGTTAAACATTCCAAGCCATTGGACACTTAGCATTGGGTTGGGACTTGGGATGAGCTGCCTACAGAATTTCCCCTCCTTGCTACCACAACATAAGTGCCATGCTTGGAAAGGGGGAGATGAATGCTTAAATTTTTTTTTGCATGAAAACATGGAAGTGACACTTTTCACTGTAACTTCGACACTTCGAATTAGACGTCAACAAGGAAGGAACGAAAGGTAGAGAGTAATTGTTAGGCTATCACAGAAACACTTCAGACAATTGCAAAAATGTCCACTTCAGTAGCGTTCAATCGCAGTATTCAGCCACAACTCTCGAAAAACAATGCGAAAGGAGGCGATTCAAGTGAAAGTGCATACCCATCCAAAGTAGTCGGGAAAACGAGACAGTGTGATAAGAAACGGGTTGCCAAAGGAGCAAGAGCAGGAACGAATACAGAGAGTCTGGAAGGCGTTCCAGGTGCAACCCCTAAGCCAATTTAAGCTTGAATGCGGTTGGAGCCACGCGTTCACCTGGCAGCGTAGCAACGCGCTCAAGGAGGCTCATTTTTCGGGTGGTCGCATGGTCCGACTCAGCATCAAGGAGATTCGATAAATTTGACACTATCGCTTCGTGCAGCGCAGGTCCCTCCAATAGGGATTGCGACGCCGTTTCACCTTTCGCTATCTTCAACTGTTGCTGTTGTTGATATTGCGCTGGTGTCGTCAGAACTTCCAGAATACGCAGGCTCTCATCCATTTGGCCAATGTAATGGGAACACACTGCCTGATTGTTGGCGGCCTGCAAATAATGCACATTCTTGACGATAGAGACCTTATTTTCCTTCTGTATTGTTAGTGATTATTCATAACCCTCTATTTAACAGCCCTTAACCGAAAGGAACCAAGTGAAAAAATTATTATGAAGACGCTGGGCTACGCACTCCTGAATCATGTAGTCCGCGTGAATATCAGCAGTGTGAACTCCCCATTAACATTTGGATCCTTCGAAATAAATATGCAACACGTTTTAAAGGGCGGTGTAAATCATCGAGTACAAGACGTCTACTCCTCGTGGGAATCAAGTAAATTTGAGAGTAGAACATGATAAGCGATGTTGGATCGACTCAAAAGTCAGACATAATCAAACAAATGGCTAGAAACTAAGAAAACCAGAAGAAAATTTGAACGAAAGGCAAACATTTCTGGTTCCTTAAAACGGGTCTGCCCTAACGAGATGATATTATCTTCCAAGATGCTGTTGACATCGAGAATTTCTTGGTAGCCTGCAGACATGCTTTTCAGTAATCAGCTTAACTGCCTTCCAAATGCGGCAGTCCATGAAATTCAAATCGGGGAGCTATTTGCTTGCATAAAAGTCGTCAAAAGCTCGATTGACCATTCTACCTTGTAATTGTTAAGTAGTAATTCTGATTACATGGGGGACTAGTGCTGCGAGATAATTACAAGATGATGGAGCTGGTTGAGCAAGAAAATTTTACGACACTACTCCAAGATATTTACAAAAAGGTGAATAATTTTCAACCAATGAAATCACAGTAAAAATCAGGTAGATAAAAGTAGTCAGTCAATGAAAAGCAGAATAACCTCAACACATTTAAAGAGATGGTATTAAAAGAATATATACACTCACTGCAACATTTGATGGATCCAACTCTAACACCTCACGAAATAGTCTTTTAGCCTCGTCAAAATGACCGCTGCCGATTTGAAGCATAGCACTGAAGTTGAAGAGAAAAATTTAGTCACTACAAACCTAAATTTGTTTAAAAAATGTATTTTAATCAATGTGGAGTGACACTGACCATTTTTACGACAGAAATGCGTACCTGTACATGAGCCATTGAATTCTCGTAGTAGTCAGATCGGGTGAGGCATCTTTCAAGGCCTCCTTGAACATTTCTTCAGCTGAATCCACATCTCCCATCTAAGTTATAACGCGAGTACACATTAACATACTAAGGTATTAGGGAAATACAATGGCTTATAATACCGCAACATCATACCCCCAGGTATATGCGTCCCAAAGTCCCGTAGAGGAACCTGTGTTCTCCCAAGGGTTCCAACTTATCGATCATTTGATAAACTGTTTCGATGGCAGAGGGATAATCCTGATTGGCAAGATAGATTGACAGACAGATAGCCAGGATTTTGCTCTCCCTACGTCTCCATATCACCAATGAGCCTAAAAGCCATGGTTAACTATGACAGCTCATTAAATGTTACATGTTCAGATTACACATGTGAGGTCACTCACTGATTTTATAGGCTTCGTTTGGATAGCTCTCACTTCCATCCTCGGTGTAGCCATTTTCCAGGTTGCTGATCACCTAGAAATTGACAACAGTGAGGGGACATAGACTTACTCGAGCCACGACAGCAGCAAGGAAATAGAGGCGATCAAGAGCCTCTCCTGACCGATTTAAATGGTGCGGCAACTCCGCGTGAAGTAGTCGTAATGAGAAGGGGATCATTGAACCTATAGACGCAGATAAAACTGAGAATACTAAATACTGATCATGAATTATTATACAAGTTAGTGTGTTATTAAAATGTACCTTTACGACGGGGATATAGGTCTGGTGCATGTTCAAAGTAGACGTCAGGATTGTCCAGCCTATCAAAAGCGGCCAGTTCGCGTTCCAGCAGGTCGAACTGCCGGGTCTGTTTCAAGAGCACGAAGCGCACTAGCCAGAGCTGCGACGAGAATGGGGTCAGCTTAGCCCCGGTGTCAGAGGCGAAACCGCAAATAGTTAGGAGGCGACCTGTTAAATCTAATGCAGCATGGTACCATCGACCCTTCTAGAAAGTAAATGAAAAGTATTCTAGTGAAAGCATTATACTGAAGTTTGGTAAAACAAAGCGTTATCAATGACAAAATAAAACAAAATTGATGTTTTTCAGCGAAACAGGAAATAAATTCGCCTAATACGAGGAGAAAGCAAGTTAAACATGGACAGTCGTCGTTAGCAATGACGAATCTAAATACCTTCACTGCTTTGATATTATTGCTGATACTGCAAACTAGAATGTTCAGGTCCTCCTTTTCAAGGCAATCCTTCAATTCAATGAAGCGTTTAACTCTCCTGCATTGGAAAAAAGGGAAAACCGCCTCGGTATTCACATTCGAAAGCGATGCCCTAGAACTGTTTTGGTCAAGCTTAAATGAAAGTGAGTACCGGTGGGGGTATCATTATAGCTTAGCCCAGGATTTGTCACTCTGGAGTATGACGGTAAAACTGTGTGTGCATGTGAGGAGGGCATATTCACTTCCATCGGCACCCTTGCTCAATGTGGAGATAATATTTTCCCTCTCATGAAGGCGGATTCAATGTCAAAAATGATAGCAGATTTGACAAATACAGAACGCTACAGACCTCTAGGGACAAAGGAGCATAAAAAATGACTATTAACAACAGAAGGGATAATAGGGAAGTTCAACACGAGTGCTGGATCTGTCTCTGGTTCTTCAATTCATGACAATTCCAATTGATTGTGTCTATCTAGGCATTAGACAGACAAGCTTATGCACAACTGCTTGGTCGCCACATCATAAATTGTCTGCGGATTTCAGAAAGACGACACCAGCGCAGTTCGAGTGATAGCGATAATGCATAAAAGACATTTGGTTCAAGGTTCTTTATAATCAGTGGATTCCAGGATGTAAACGGAAGAATAAATAGGGTATGATGAGTTGGAGAAGACCACCAGTGTACTAACAAGAATAACGAAAAACGGAATTCATCAAAATCTTCTAAGTCATCATGGCTAATAACCATTGTGATGTAGTCTACTCAGAAAATGCATCAAGATTCAGTGCCTTTTGCCAAAAAAAAACAGATCCAATTACAAAGACTTTTCAACAAGGGCCATCAAAGTATCCAGCAATATGGGTGATGCTAGCCCACCCATAACTCCAGATCCAATAGCCTTCAATGGAGACCATGATGAAAGATGCAATTGAATTTGAAAAATAATTTTAAGCTTTGTTTTCCTTCAAGAGCCATAAGCTTAGGTAAAAGATGTTTTAGAAGTGAGGGAAGGAAACGTTGCTACTGGAAAAGAGAAGTCAACACGACAGCAAAGCCTAAAAAAAATCTCGCGTGCTTTAATTCCGTAATGACGGGGAATTACGAGAAACCTTTATTTAAAAACCCCAAAGAGCATCAAAGGTTTCCATTTCATCGAACCCAGTTAGCCGAATAGCATTAACCCACTAGAAACGTCTGGATTTAGTGCTCCCTTAGACAAAGGAAAAGGCGTTAAAGAATTGGAGCTCTTCGAAACTCTTGAAACATTTGGATTTTATTTGACTGATAGTGATATTTGCAACTATGCTAGAGGGCTCCGAAGCCCAATATTCATTAAAATAAATAGATTAAGGATGTGAAAATTGGGGAAATGAATACCATACAATAAGTTGAACGAGACCATCGCAGTCCTGCGAGACCATATCAGCAGTAATAACGGGACGAATGGCATTGGCACGCACATCCGATCGATAGCGGTTGACAAGTTGTCGGTGAATCGGATCGGCCGTATCGATTGGTGAGGGTGGAGCAAGAAGACGTGGAGCGGTGGAGGCTAAACCACCGCTGCCACCCTCTAGCAAGCACCGACGCGTCGCTTCTGAGGGGAGCCAGGCATCGGTTTTGCGGAGTTCCTGCAGTTCTACCTCTGATAGCTCTGTTACTGACTGAAAGGAAGAAAGGGAGAGGGATATAGCTTTTCCTTCAATAAACTTGGATTAGAACGAGGGCTAGATAGGATTTCGCAGTTATGAGAATCTGATCACTTCTAGAATGCACTTTGCTACCTAAACAAATGTCTCAGAATCCAAATTAGGCACCTTGATTGGCTTGCTGTTGCGTCGTTCACTTTCCCGGATTCCCAAAAATCCTTTAAAACCTGGCGTATGGGGGTTCAGGCAAGATAGACACTATGGCTGCTATTGTGAGACCCAACATCAGAACTCCCTAGTTTTTAGGGAAAGGTTCCGTCCCAAAGACAATTTATACTATTTAAGAAAAGAGCTATTCTAGTGGAATAAAGCCCTTCATATGATAGTTTAAGTGTTATTTAAACTCATGTATGCATTAATGCTATTTTTCTCTTAACAATTCCCTTTCATAAACATCAACAGAAGGGAATCAGGAGCAAAAAAACAAAAGAAAAAGCACTTAAACTATATATCTTACCAGAATGGAAGGACTAGATATTAAAAAATAAGTGTCGATGGTACAATAAGGTGGATAAAAACTTACGAAAGTTGGGTCCATATCTTGTCTAAAAGAGAAAAATCTTTGGCAAAATGTACAAAGAGAAGGTATGGGAAGGTAGTAAGTGTAAGAATTCAAACAGGGACGTAGAAAATTCTCGCCCAGTTAGTATAGCAGCAGCACGAATGCAAGACAATTCGGAAGAGGAGGATTATAACAAATATTTGCCACTAAGTTCCTCAGCACACACTCCAGTAAACTGAAAAACAATGCTAGTATGTGATAAAGATCAAGACGAAAGTGTTACATGTAAATACTAGCTACAAAGGAGTTGTTCGATCAACAGAAATACGTTAATAAAGGCGTAAAACTATAGGAAAAAACATTTCAGATAACTTGAAACACCGTGGCTTAAACAATTCAGATACAAAAACTTACAGAAACTGGCAGAATCTGAAGAAATGAACCACGTCGTCTCTTTTATGAACGTCTAAAAATCCAATTGGATGATTCACTACTTCCAAACAATGCGGTATCGCACAATATGTACATAAACAGATATTTGTTATAATCCTACATAGCCAAGCAAATATTGCTTTTTTTGCTTTGTACAACTACTTAGTCAGGCACTAAATAATGCAGGTTAGTCTTGGCCCCTAACATCCCTTCATTCAAAGCCTGATATGGCACAATGCACACCCCCATTTGGATCATCACCCTACCCTTGACGGCCTCGCAACCAACAAATAAGGCACCCACCCGCCCCGTCACTTATCGATGCTTAACACAACTCCATGAGTCTTCTTTTCCCCCACATCAGCCCTTTTTAAGCCTTTAAAGCCAATTTCTAGACCCACAGTCGAGCCCCATCGGGAAACACGCTCATTACGCAGCCGAGCTCGTCAACAACTCACTCGACCCTTTACCAGATTTCACCGGGATACACAGTTCCCACCCCTCGCACGTTTACTAGCAGGCACTAACGATTAGATGGTAGATCAAACTCACAATGAGAAATAACATAAAGACTGAAACTCAGAAAGAAGAACCGGCTATCAGGAGGAAAGATGACTCATAAAAGTGTAAACTGATGCACAACCACGGCAAGTCCAACCAAAGCGCATGTACACAATGCCACCACCAGCCTAAACCGTCTCGCTGCTTTTGCTCGCAGCAGCTCCAAACAGGCATCCACTTGCTCTGCCAGCCCGGCAAAGTTCCCGTCGGCCTCATTGTCTACCACAATGGTGGCACGTGCAACTTTATCTGCTAAGGGCATCTGTGAAGCGATTCGGGAGAGAGCGGCGTCGCGAGAGAGATCGGGATTGCGTTTTAAGAGACGGGAGAGTTGAACCTCGGGGGAGCTGAAAAAGATGTCGACAAACCGTCAGTTCGATTTCATATTTATGAGTTGAATACGGCACGACACAATGGACAGTGGGAACAGTGGGCTTCTCCTTAGCAAAGTGATAGAAGAGAGGGCTTTGAATAAAGGCTTTTCCATGATTGAAAGCCAATCACTGACTACTTGATGGCTAAACAGTCGAAGAAGCCTATCTATTGGGCCTAGTTGGCCTATTTGAACTCGGGCTTACGAGAGATCAAAGGGGTGATAAGCATCACGTAATCACTCAATTACTCAATTTAGACAATAAGGTAATTGTTAGGTAAATAATGAGTAGTTTTCAACAACATTCGGATAAAAGACATTGGGGTAAATATTTGACTGAACTGGAGCTGTTCACTCAATTGCATTTCCTCGCATCCATTGCTATTCTCAGCAAAACTGTTGTTATCAAAAGAGGAATTGGTAGCAATACGCATGAGACGCTGCCAATTCAAACGCTAGATATTGGTTTAAACAGATACTTTTACAAGAATAAAAATAAGAATGCAAAGAAACCTTCCGCATAGAAGTACCCACACTTGTCTTACCCGGATGTGAAGTCTTTAAAAAGTGAAAACCACACAAAAAAACAACTTGGAGATAAAGTTAAAGGACAAAAAGTGCTTTTATGTGAGCCGAATCCACGGGTGGATGAGGGAATTGAAAAAGGTCTTTTCTGGACAGCTAGGCATTCACAAAACTCTATTTTATTCAGCATATTCGTATTTTCAAAAAGAGAAATAGTTACCGAGGCAGACATCGTTCACTAAACTTATGAATGAGTCAGTTGTACCTCAACTAATTTGACTGCGGTTAAAACAGATACAAAAAGTTCAAGAGATTACCAATATCACTTCACCTAAATCTAAGTGAACACCAACGTAAGCACGTCACATTCAGAACTGGAGTTACTAAGATTAACTCACAAACAAGCCCAGAAAACCACCTAAGTTCAAACTTTAAAAAGGTTTCTCTTAACATTCCTTCTACTTGAAAGTGACAAAACCGGGAAAGAGAGCAGTATTTGGTAATAACTAAGTTGTCATAGGACTTACACCTGAAAACCCCATTTAATGC